TGTTCCGCCGCTGAACTTGTATACGGCACGACATTGCGTCTGCCCGGAGAATCCTTCACACAACGGAGCAGACCTGATTTCGGTAAATCAGACTACGTCCATCGACTGTCTGCATTTATGCGAACGCTGTCTCCGGTGTCAACTCGAATACAACATCGACAGGTCGCTCTCCCTCGAGAGTTATCTGCCTGTTCACATGTTTTCTTACGAGTAGATTCGGTACGCAAACCTTGGCAACAACCTTACGAAGGCTCTTTTCACGTGATCGCTCGTCACGAAAAGACCTTCAAGGTTGATCGATATGGACGCGTCGAAATCGTCAGCATTGATCGTCTCAAACCAGCACACGTCGATGACAGTGCCCTATCTGATAACCTGAGATTCAATGCTAGACCTATCAAACCTACTAGCGGGATCCCCAAACCATCTTCAGGTCCCACGCTAGATACATCTGAGACCTCATTCTCACGTCCCAGTCAACAGCACGCGTCATCTGCACCGTCTACGGACGAGACAACAGTCTCACGTCTAGATCAGCAGACCACGCCGCCTTTGACTTTGGATGAGATTGCAGGCCCACGCGACGCGAACGAGACTATCGTCTCACGTTCCGGTCGCCGAGTACGGTTACCCGTACGCTTTCGTGACTAGCCGCACAGTCAACCGATACGGTGTAGGATTATTCCTATACTACACGCATGCTACACTCTTCTTTTTTTTGATTTTTTTTTGTTTCCTGAGCTCACGCCTTCGACCATCTCCGTTTGGTTCCGTCGACTTCAGTCAACTTTGGCGAAAGCTGGCCTGATCACCCACACTCTTGTCAACGCACTCAGTCGATATATTGGTTTCGAATGTTTGGCATACGTTTGGTCTCGAACTTGGTCGTTGCGGTCGCTTTTGGTCTTTTGTCTCAACGTGGTTTCGTCCTACGTCTGCAGCGTTTCTGGTCCGCATTCCCTACGAACGCCATCTTCAGATTCTGGATACAAACCACTCGTGTAGCATGCCAACTCAATCAACAAGTACAGCACATCGATTCTGGTACCGTTCTCCGAAAATAACCTTCGTTGGCAACTCGACGATCAACAATCGCTTTCCTGTTCGCCAATCCGTTCGTCCTACAAACGCTCGTCAAACGATCAGTCCCACGATTTAAACCGCTATTAATCGAAAGTGTAAACCTTTTCTAGCGGGGGGCTCCTGTAGTGACTCACGTTTATTACGAGAACACGACTGGTTCAATAGAAATAATTATTATTATAAACAGTTGTACCAGTGTTTATTTTAATGTGCTTTTGTTTGACTGTGCTAATGACAGTTATATTGGGCTTCCATTCTTGTTCTTACACTTCGATTGTAATTTCGCGCGAATTCGGTTACCTTCTGTAACCAAGCTTGTATTCTGGCACGATCTCGGTATCCTTTCGATACCACGAGATCGCCAGTGAATAAATCCGAACTTGGTCCATTTTCTGCCTTCTGATATTTGGCTTCTCGGGGTTTTTATGGAGTCATTTGGAACGAGCTTCTTGGTAGCGGTGTACATAGTCAATCTCGACTCGACGCCACGCTACATTTGGTGATCCCAAAGTTTGGAACACTCCTCAACCTCTGGTAAAATCTTCCAAAGAAGCCAATTTGGTGAGTCTATTGTTTATCTATCCACGTCTGTCGTATATTTTCATATTATCTTTTAATATATAATATACTCGACATGACGGATAACGATAAGAATTGTATTAATATAATAGACTCCCACGTATGTGTACCGAATCCTTGTCACTTTTTATTCGCGTGACGGTAAATCCCACGCTTTATTCGATTCTCCTCGCTGACCCGGCTGCTTGGTACGGAATGCATACGCATAAGCATATCCGTCAACCACCCAGCACCAAATGGTTAAGTTGAACGGTTTCACTGCCAACTTAAAAGTGCTCTACGAGCACACGAAAACGGCAACTGGCACGAAACCTTACCGCTCGTTATTTTAGGGATCGGAACGAGCTTAAAGGCAGATATACAATGTTCCGCCGCTGAACTTGTATACGGCACGACATTGCGTCTGCCCGGAGAATCCTTCACACAACGGAGCAGACCTGATTTCGGTAAATCAGACTACGTCCATCGACTGTCTGCATTTATGCGAACGCTGTCTTCGGTGTCAACTCGAATACAACATCGACAGGTCGCTCTCCCTCGAGAGTTATCTGCCTGTTCACATGTTTTCTTACGAGTAGATTCGGTACGCAAACCTTGGCAACAACCTTACGAAGGCTCTTTTCACGTGATCGCTCGTCACGAAAAGACCTTCAAGGTTGATCGACACGGCCGCGTCGAGATCGTCAGCATTGATCGTCTCAAACCAGCACACGTCGATGACAGTGCCCTATCTGACAACCTGAGATTCAATGCTAGACCTAGCAAACCTACTAGCGGGATCCTCAAATCATCTTCAGGTCCCACGCTAGATACATCTGAGACCTCATTCTCACGTCCCAGTCAACAGCACGCGTCATCTGCACCGTCTACGGACGAGACAACAGTCTCACGTCCAGATCAGTAGACCACGCCGCCCTTGACTTTGGATGAGATTGCAGGCCCACGCGACGCGAACGAGACTATCGTCTCACGTTCCGGTCGCCGAGTACGGTTACCCGTACGCTTTCGTGACTAGCCGCACAGTCAACCGATACGGTGTAGGATTATTCCTATACTACACGCATGCTACACTCTTCTCTTTTTTGATTTTCTTTTTGTTTCCTGAGCCCACGCCTTCGAACATCTCAGTATGGTTCCGTCGACTTCAGTCAACTTTGGCGAAAGCTGGCCTGATCACCCACACTCTTGTCAACGCACTCAGTCGATATATTGGTTTCGAATGTTTGGCATACGTTTGGTCTCGAACTTGGTCGTTGCGGTCGCTTTTGGTCTTTTGTCTCAACGTGGTTTCGTCCTACGTCTGCAGCGTTTCTGGTCCGCATTCCCTACGAACGCCATCTTCAGATTCTGGATACAAACCACTCGTGTAGCATGCCAACTCAATCAACAAGTACAGCACATCGATTCTGGTACCGTTCTCCGAAAATAACCTTCGTTGGCAACTCGACGATCAACAATCGCTTTCCTGTTCGCCAATCCGTTCGTCCTACAAACGCTCGTCAAACGATCAGTCCCACGATTTAAACCGCTATTAATCGAAAGTGTAAACCTTTTCTAGCGGGGGGCTCCTGTAGTGACTCACGTTTATTACGAGAACACGACTGGTTCAATAGAAATAATTATTATTATAAACAGTTGTACCAGTGTTTATTTTAATGTGCTTTTGTTTGACTGTGCTATTGACAGTTATATTGGGCTTCCATTCTTGTTCTTACACTTCGATTGTAATTTCGCGCGAATTCGGTTACCTTCTGTAACCAAGCTTGTATTCTGGCACGATCTCGGTATCCTTTCGATACCACGAGATCGCCAGTGAATAAATCCGAACTTGGTCCATTTTCTGCCTTCTGATATTTGGCTTCTCGGGGTTTTTATGGAGTCATTTGGAACGAGCTTCTTGGTAGCGGTGTACATAGTCAATCTCGACTCGACGCCACGCTACATAATAATTCATGTTTCATTTTCCGTTTACTATTCAGTGTAATCTTAGAAATTACAGGGAGTGAGCTTACGTTAAAAGTAGTGAAAAGTGCTTCATAAATCGGCATAGAGAAGTTGGTAAGTCTCCAAAATTGGAAGCTATCTAAGAGTTTGATATTGATGCTGATCATATAAAAATAACTGGTAGCACCGCTAGCTAAAGACAGTTGGTAGGACAACCACATTAGATCATGTTTCAACTCACTTAGAGGGCACACACCAAATTAATTTCCGCATACATCAAGATGCAATTTCTTTTCCAGCCATACTTGTTTTCCTGGCCTTGCGGTGATTTTATTGAAAGGCTCGAACATCAGCGCTGTCAGATGCTCCTGCATGCAAACTTTCTTCAAATAATTAACAACTAAATGGTAAACCCTATAGATTACAATTCCGAAACTTTCCAAGAATGAAATGAGAAACAAGTGAAAAGGGAATGCGTAGAGAGAAGAAAGGGGGTTGATTAAGAGTTAAACACGATTATGTATACTACGAACTACAGGTACCAAGGTAAACCATGTTTATTTTTTCGCCATTCACCCTCACTCTTTAATTGCATAATAAGATCTGAAACGAAACAAACAGAGGCTAGATGTCATTCACGTGGTTCTCCTAACGAGAGACGTTCAATTGAGATTTAGGGTCAAATCGAGAACGATTCTTGCCCTAATTTTACAGTTGATTGTGGAGATAATGTGGGACAATTAATAGCACGAGATATCTCAATATCAAACTATTTTTGTACCTCATACTGCGTGAGAATCGATTTAGAGCTGTGATGATTTTGACCATGCCAATTATTTATTATATTCCATATTTAACTTTCCCATAAACACTACTGGATACTCGCACCAACCGGTCCTTGTCTACAGGACTTTATTGACTAATAATGTGTGGCGTTGGTACGAATTGATAACGCGTTTGTAAGGCACTCTTCGCCTGATGTATCATCTATGTTTCCTTTTCGCCCTCACATATAGGTCTCCTCACACTATGCATCACCAACTGATTAGCTTGATTATTAAGTTATTTATCTATCTACCTCCTAAAACAATCGTCCTCTCATGGCACTCAAGTTTTCGCTTCATTAATTTTCACGTTGCGGCCAACCTACCTCCTATCTGGTAATGTGATAGTCACAAGTACCCAGAGACCCTTCTCATACAAACGCACTCGCTCAAATTTAAAGACTTACAAATGACCACCAAGCTGATTAACGTTGGTGGAGTCGAGTGACTGAGCTAAAGCCAACTGGAACTTACCAGAGAGCTGGAAGTGTATTGAAATGACAAGAAGTGAGAGCAAATGAACTAATCGTTTTGTGCAAGATTGTCAAGAAGAAATTGGATATTGGATATCGAACTTATCAACCGGCTGTATCGTCACCGCGGCAACCTGTCTATTTGTTGCGCCATACATAATGGTAAGTCGGTTGTTAATTATAATTTGTTTATTTCATTAACTTGTTTCATCTTCTTATCATCACCTTATGAATTACTTGCAACTAACATTAAGCATAAATATGTGGATGTGGATTAGGACTCACTAAATATTTAATCCATCTGTTCAGCATACATCATATCTCACACTATTTGTTTGTGTTGTACCTTCGAAGTATATTGTTATTTAAAAGTGATATTTATCACCTAGTCTTAGGCTTATTGTGGGCCAACTATCAAATGCTCTAGATATATGTGGTTTGTGTTACGATGACGTCATCGCCTAGTTCTGTCTTTCGCAAAGAAAGAAACAATAAATTTACTGAATCTTCGGATGGCTGTTAAGCATCTTATGAGTTGTCGTAATCCACTTGATTCCTTCGCTCCATGTTCTGTCAAAAAATGACATAAAGACTTTGACAACAACCATTTTAATATGTTTGGTAGAGCAATTAAAGTAGTGGGTTCCACAGAGAGTTCGTTCTTGATCGATTTTGACTTCGAGCAAGTGGATTCGTCCAAAGGTAATCAGGCTTTTTGAAACCAGATGTCACTAAAAAACCGTTGATTTGATGGTGTATAGTTAATTGGTTGGATGCAGACTGAGCGTATTTTCTAGATGTTCGCCAAAAAAGCAGCTTCGGTAGGAGACTTAATTAGGACCGCTACAAAAGCAAGTCGTCTGGCGAATTTCCACGTTAAATAGTGAGCCGCTTCACTTTCTCATGGCCCCAGTACCATCAGGTCTTTTAACCTACAGAAATATATATGTATACCTGTCCACCATAATGTTTTCCTCACCACAGTGAATTAATTAGCATTGATAGTCAGTACTTTGTACATTTGAGGGATCCTGAATCATGTAGGTTTAGTCTTCGACGAATTTACTTTTTATTTCTAGGTTTTTGCTTAGTGTATCATTTTTTCTTCATTTAATTCACCTTGAGTGACGTCTCAAACATATTAATGGTTAGAATTCGACACTCCTCTAAGTACTTCCACTGACCATAACTGGGTATGTACTCCATGCTGCAGTGGCTCAGTAGTTAGAGCGTTCTGTTTTCAGCTACTAAGTCACATGTTCGGACCTCGCGCCACTGCTATAGGAATATTAACTAAGTTTGTGGTATACTTTCCTTAATAAGTGTTACATTAAGTCACTTGTAATTTGAAAAAGATTAGAACTGTGATCTACCCATCCACCAATTTACATAAGGACTTGAAGAAACCTATCAAGTTTGAACAAAAACCAGTGTTTATATGTAATTTCTCATTTCACTCAACTTTTTCACTAACGTAGTGGTAAATTACTTCTCACAATAACTATGGAGTCTATGATCGACGTAGTTTACATGCGGTAAAGTTTTGTCTAGTGAGTATTTCAAATGAATCTAAAAACTTTGCACGCACTAAGTGTATCTAAGTCTGTTGTGTTTTACGTGCAGGAAGCAATACCTTAAGACTAGCTGAGCTGAAACTCATCGCTCCATATTTCTCAAAGCCGAGTACGTAAACTTGTACCGGCTGAATGGGTTGGTTTAGGTAAACAAAACCGATTTCACTCTCTAGTCTTCAATATATGCTAAAGGTTTGATTGGTGTTTGGCAAATGAATTATTCTTAGCTATGGATACATATTCTGTTCCTGAGCTACGATTAGAAGACCTGATCGTGATTGCTTACCCAGCATTATTTGTGTGTTTTCGAACTGTTGTGGTTCACATATATGTATTCACTTTTCAGTGTTAGAATCCAGAATTGAATTTTGTAATTTCAGTCATTAACAACATAGAACCTAGTACGCATGTACATCGGTTCGAATTGGCATACCCCATTAGCACAGAGGGATGAAACTGCCAAGCCAAATCCCAGAATAGTAGACGTAGTGACAGCATGCGTGGTGATTGGAAATATTAGGTATCGAAGATATGATCCAAGAAAATGTAAATTAGCGAGATGAAAAGATAAGAAAGTTATGAAGAATCCGGAAGCTCAGAATTTGGAAGAAGACAAAAATCGGATGTTCCTGCACCATTGCAAACGATTTTGAGCTATATCATACAATATCCCTAACCATTAGTTACGGGAATCACGCAAACCCTAACCAGATAGTCTATACCCACAAACATGACTCAGTCCATTTGTCGATGACCCCTTAGACTGGTGTCACGTCTGTCTGACAGCTCCTACTTTTTTATCAACCTACTCCTACACCAAACAACATTGACTGCCGAGACAGAGAGTGGTTGGCTATACGAAATACATGTCCCAACTACTTCAATAGATTAAGATTCATTACTTCATCAGCCTATTTGTAATGTTTACCTGGTACTCTGTGTTTAACCTCCAGCCTCATCTTTTCATTACACTTATGTCCTATGCTTTCTCATCTGTATTTCTTTTGTAAAATCCCTCTATAGTAAATAAGTACTTTTCATCTTCCGTTTATTCGACTGGAAAAATTAATTTGTTTTTATTATATCTGGACGAAGAATGAGTGAATGGTAACTGCTAAGATCTATTTATGAACTAATATATATATATATATATAACTTAGGTTATTCTCAGTTTTTTAGTTACAGTATCCCACATTCACAGACACTTTTGACCTGATTCTGCATAATTTTTATTTTCTATTTTATGGTATAATGCGATCTGATTTGCTTGTATATAAATTGCATATGTTTGAAATACGTGATTTATATAGCGTAGGCTGAGATCGGTGTTCTGGACTAAACTGGCCTGATTAGGTGAGTACCTACTATCTCAGAGGACCACTAAGAACTCGGAGTTGACTCTAGGCTCCTAGCAATTGTTTATGTTTCATTGGTCTGGTCAATAAGTTGGGGTTCTAATTGGCGATTTAGTCACGTGATAATTAACAGGGAATAAAAGACATAACAGTTTTAGTTGCTTTAAACTAACTAATGAACTGAGAGAGAAAAACAATATAACAGTCTTCTAACTAATCAACTAATTAGAACTTATTTTAACTTCCAAGATAATTGTATATTACAAATCTAAAGTCACTTAGTAAATCCTAATTTCCAGTGTTTGTTTAATCAGCTAAACAACTTAAAATATCTAATTTTTTTGTAAATGTTGGCATTGTTATGCTCTAATTGCTCTGTTAATCACTAGTAGATAGAATTGTAGATGGATGAATTTTTGTCCCATATTCTTTACAGGATTTCTAAGTTTAACAAGTTACTTCACACTTTTGTAATTATGATAAATGCTAATACATACTAAATCACTTGTTTATATTTTTAAGTCAGAAGTAGAAGAAACATTTAAAAGATTATTGGCGCACAAAGGGGTTATTGGTGCAGTTATTGTAAGCTCAGATGGTAAGCATTATAACTGATATTTAGTAGCTTTACCAATCGTTGATCCATTCATTTTTATTGTAATTTATTTATTTCAACACATAAATATTGATACAAAAGGGCACCAAATATATATGTGCCACACCATATTTGTGTGTGTGTGTGTGGGCTGTGATACTGCCCGGGTGCCCATACCGAAACAGGTGGTTTTCTTAGAGGTGACATACCCGGAGCCTTCGACCTGAAGGTCTGATCAACAAGGCATTGGAGCACCGTGAGGAGATACATTCCCATGGTAGCCGGTGACCAACGATTGGTTCATACGCCATTTGTTCCCGCAGGATACTGAAGCCCATGTGCACCATCAGTTTGAAATCCAGTTAAAGCGCCGGACATTCGCTTTTCGTCCTCTGAATTTCGTAAACAACAGTAACGCCACGAGAATGCAGTGAGTAGGACTTCCCTGGCAGAGGCTGTATACGCGTGGCCATGTAAGAGCATTTCGAGAGGGAGGGCGAACCCACCCCACTCTCGGCCATACCAGGGCATTTGGGGGTGTCTCCTCATTTGCGGATAAATCTTTCGCCTTTTTATTGTAAACAACTTCAGATATATGTGTAAATGTTCGCCTCAGTCTGAAAGTAGGCTATTTTTATAGATTCTTTTTTGTCTGTTGGGAACCTTTCATTTAATTAGCTAGGCGTCATAAAAAAAGACGTGGAGGGCGGCCTACTTGAGCATCTGGGCTACCTGTTCCTACCATCTAGATATTTCAACAAGTTATCTGTTTTTGTTTGTTTTAATATATCATTATGTTCATTAATCGTATAACTTATTCTGCTGCGTTTCTGAAAAGTGTACAACCTTTCATTGTCAAAGTTACAAAAAACTCAATAAGAGACAATGTGGTTGCTGGCAATATACAGGGAAAAGAATGCACATTATCCAGATGTTCATTTACTGAACTGCTAACATCTAACTGGCGATCACTCAAAATTTATCGCCAGGACCGAGCAAAAAGAAAGAAACGGAAACTTGTTGAAATACTTTATGCTGAGAATTTTTATATTGTACCAAAAATATAGTATTGAATAAAACTAATAATAATAATAATAACAATAATAATAATAATAATAATAATAATAATAAATCAAAGCCTGTTTCCCAGAGTTATCGATAGTGATGTTTTATTATTTGTTTATTTAAACACGAATTGGCACAAAACGGCACTAAAATATATAAGGGCCACACAGAGTAGTTATTATCTAGTTTGTGTGTGGATTGAATTATTGTCTGAGTGCCCAAACCCAAGCAGATGGTCTTCTTTAGGACACACTCCCCGAGCTCTTGATTTTGGGATCTAATCCACGAGGCAGTAAAACAACGTTAGATGCATTCCCATGGAAACCCGTGACCGAGAATAGATTCGTACGCCAATTGTTCCCTTAGAATCCTGAAACCCATGTCCATTTGAACACATAAATATTGGTACAAGAGGCACCAAATATATTTACGCCACACTTTAGAGTCAGAGTTTTATATCTCCTCTAAGTGGATCATTCTTACTCGGTTTGAGCGCCGAAGATTCTTTTCCCGTCCTTAATTTTGTAAACATTACCCCCGTCGCAAAACGTTAGTGAGTATATATAAGTGACCATATGGAAGCATTTGAAGGCAGTCTTTCAAAATAAAAGCGTTTCGATAATTTCTCATTCCTCCAAATGTTACGTCTCATCGTGTTGCCGTCCACCCAGCTGAGATCACTTAGATTTTAACTACATATAATAAATTTGAATAAACCGAAGACATTGATTACAGAATACAATAAATTCATATTTCACTTCAGCCACATTCATAATCTGGAATTTTATAAAAGATGGATTGGTCAACAATAACAAAAAAGTCCTAGTCACTACCTTCTCGCGGTGGAAGTGTTGCTTACGAAATCGAGAGGATGAAAAGCGAATATTGGCGCTTTAACCGGGCTGATGGATACGGAGAGTCCACTAAGGGGAGTTGGTAAACCCTGATTCCAAACCAATGGTGCACATGAGCTCCATTATCCTAAAGGAACAAATGGTGTATGAACCTATTGTTGGTCACCGGCTACCATGGGACTGAATCTCCTTACGTTGCTCTACTACTTTGTGGATCAGACCATTAGACTGAAGGCTCCAGGTGTGGCTCCCTAAGAAAATCATCTGCTTCCGTCTGGGCACCCGGGCAGCATCATAGCCCTCACACAAATCGAATGATTTATGTGGCACATACCTGTTTGGTGCCTCCGTATATCAATGTTTATGTGTTTAAATAGATAAATATATATAAGTATAGAATGTAAACGTAAATATCGTTAAGAATTAAATGTTAATAGGCTTCTATAAATGCTGAGTGACAGTTGTAGGATATTTTTTAAGATAGTTCCCACTACGTAATATTAACAAAAATTCAAGTTTATAGAGAAGAAACAAATGAGTCGAACTCACTAAATTGTAATTATCCTTAATTGAATAGGAAAATTAGTAAAATAAGTCAATATTGTTGTCTTTTCCCGGTTTATTATCACGTGACTTATTCGCCAATCGGTATACAACTTATACTATCTTAGCACTGTACCACACCAATGATGTATCAATCGGTATGAACAGCATAGCGTTGTTTTGGTCCTTTTCCTCCTGGCCCGTCCAGTTGAGTTCACAAAGCCAATAACAGCTTCCACTATGCAATTTACATGTACCTACCAAAGCAGTTACATTGGTAGAACAGAAAGGAGAGCCTACGTCCGATTCAAAGAACATATTCCGAAAAGTTTAAGGTTAAATGGATTGAACGCATTCAACAGTGCTATCGCAAGATATCTCCTTGATACAGGACATGAAGTTGATATACTGAAGTCCTTCAAGGTGATTAACAAACAATCAAACTCTAACCTTTTGAAATTCGCTGAAGCGTTAGCAATCAAGCGTTTAAAACCAGATCTATGTATACAAAAAGAGACAGTAATCAATCTTTACGCTGGTAACAATAACCCCCACCCTTCCTATTCATCTGCTCCGATTTATTTATTTATTGCAACTCTTTCTGAAGTTTAAATTACATCATACATGACTGACTGTTTTCAATTCATATTTTCTTTATTACGATTAATCTATTTTCATGAGTTCTAATCACTATTTCAATGTTCCAGAACTTTCACTCTCTAACTTTATTTATTTATTCGAATCAAACATTTTATGAGCTCATTAACTCTATCTGAATCTTCGCTACATCATGATACACGTGTATTCATCCTTAATCACACGCTTATGTATAACAAATGTCAATATCTGTAATAATTTTGAATTTCAAATAATTTAGGTTGTATGCAGCTGATGAGAACCTAATGAAATAAAATGAATTCATATTATTCTGTATCAATGCTTTGTTCTTGCTCTATTTAAGACTTCAAATATACTTGGTTTATATACCAGTCACCATAAAATAAGAAATAATATTTATACAAGATTAAGTCAAAAAGTGGTTGTGAACGTGGGAGACTGGAATCAATAAACTGAACATAAATTAAGAACAGTAAATCGTATTATAATAATATTCTATAGGTCAAAATGAATCTTATAATAGGAGGAATATAGATATGCACAATCTAGTTACTGAACAGTTATACAATAGGAATATATATATAATACTAGTCCATTAATAGTTCTCAGAAGTTACTCGTAATTTAATCTTCGCTAGGATATAACAAACATCTTGGTTACCAAAACAGATGGTCAAATTCAAGCCTAACTACCTATGGCTTCCATGACTTTTAACAATATACAGTTAGATTATTTATTGATTATTTTGAATACTTCTATTATATCCACTTCGTATCCGGTCTCAAGTAAGTGTGATAAACCCTACTTAATCAGAAAAGCATCTCACTAAACTATATTTACAATTGATTGATCATTGAGTAAGTAGTGACCAACTTCACATATCTCAAGTCTTTCTTAGCATTGATCAAGTTGTAATTTGACCATTACTCTAAGTGGTAATGTATCTGACTGTGAAATTGGGTGACACGGGATCGAATCTGTCAAGGAGTATCAGTTTCTCCAAGATTACAGGTACACCTTGTTGACGAGCACGAGACCTAGGTCAGGCAAAGCTTTTTGTAGACCAACACCTCACAGTTGAAGTTCATATTGGTTTAGATATTGTCCATCTCCTAAATTGTTATATCTCGACGAGAATGAATGGTAACTGTTGGAATGTATTAATGGACTAATACTATACATATATTTTCATTGTATAATTGTTAAGTAACTAAACTATTCATATTTTACTTATTATAAACTTTATTTTAACCCATTGACTATTATTATACGATTTACCATTCTTAATTTATATCCAGTCTATCAATTACAGTCTCCCATGAATAGAGCAACTTTTGGCTAAATCTTGTACAAATGTTATTTTCTATTTTATGGTACGATGTGGTCTGTTTGGTTTGTATATAAGCCCAGTCTCAGAGGCTGAGATTGGTGTTCTGGATTTAACAGGCATGGCTAGGCGGGAAGCAGAACCGATAAGGACTCTACACTGCTCGTACGGTTTTCTGCGTCATTAGTTCGGTCGATAAATCACTGTTCTCTTATTGATGGTATCATTATGTTAAATATTATTAGGGCACAAGTTATAACATAAATATTGCTCATTTCTGAACTAAAACTCATGGCCAGATACTTCTATTATGAAATTACACTGTTCTTACATACTAATATCATTATTATTCATCAGACTAGTTATCTTGATAATTTTCTATAAACTAGTGTCGAAAAGAAAAGTTTCTTCGTTAAATTGTCTTTATTCTTCTTCTTCAATGATACAATTGATCTCATCCATTATTTAGATTAATGTTTATTGTTCTTCTTATATAAAAATATCTTATTTACTTTTCTAAGGGATCGCAGTAAGAACTTCCATGGATAACAGTACCACAAATCATTACTGTGGTCTTATTCAACAATTGGTAGCAAAATCTCGTTCTGCTGTTCGTGATTTAGATCCGTCTAATGATTTAACATTTCTGCGTATACGAAGTACTCGAAATGAAATTATGGTAGCACCAGGTAGTAGTTTTTTTCTTTATAGTTAATTTTCCTCGTTTCATTTTTATTTATCCTAATCAAATGGCTTTGGTAGATATGAACAAACAAAATTTGTCTGTCTATGAATCTTTTTTTTTCGCTACCTATGTTCATATTTTTAATGCTATCTAAAGTTATTTATTTATTTGAACACATAAACATTACACAAGTTGAAATCATGAGTCAACTGAAGCTAGACCACCATGGAAAACCTGGAAGCACTGGAAGGCCGTTTCGTCCTACTGTGAGGCTTCTCAGCAGTGCGCATCCACGACCTCGCCCCCTGCGAGATTCGAACCCAGAACCTACTGGTCTCGCGCGCGAGCACTTAACCACTAGACCACTGAGATGGCATCCAACGACGTTAATGTTTAAATTCAGTTAAGTGCTCGCACGCGATACCAGTAGGTTCTGGGTTCGAATCCCGCGGGGTGCGGGATTGTGGATGCGCATTGCTGATGAGTCCCATGCTAGGACGAAACGGCGGTCCAGTGCTTCCAGGTTTTCCATGGTGGTCTATCTTCAATTGACTCATGATTTCAACCTGTGAAATTTCTAAAAATCTCCACAAAACCCATTCACATAAACATTAGTAAAATAGGGCATCAAATACATATGCGCCACACAATAGCAATGAAGCCATTAGCAGTTGTCATTGATTTGTATGAGGGCTGTAATAATGCTCGGGTGCGCAAACCGAAGCAGGTGGTTTTTTAGGAGGCCACACCCTAAACCTTTGACCTGAAAGTCTAATCCACAAGGCAGTGGAGCAAGTTTAGGAGATGCAGTCCCATGGTAGCCGGTGACCAACAATATAAGTTGATACGCCTTTTGTTCCTTCATGATCCTGGAGTCCATGTAAACCATTGGTTTGAAATCAGGGATTTCCAACTGCCCTAAATATATCCATCATATCTAATTAAGATATTGCAATCATGTTTTCCTGGCGTTTTCCGCTGTGTTGTTTCTGGTAATATATTTCATTTATGCATTGCTTTATTTAATGACAAATTATCTATTTGATAAATAAGACAATTAATAAGTTATCAGTAAACATGAAATCATTCTCTTTTTAAATACTGACAATCGACTTAAACTAAATTATTGAAATGTTGGGATATTCAGGAAAATATCCCAGAAATTATCCTATTAAGTCTAATGCTATTCTTGGACTTGGACATGGTATGCTTTTCTTATTGGTCAGTACTTATTTCACGTGTTATTTTCCTACTGGTCAATATTGTACAATGTTATTTTCTATTTTATGGTACGTTGTGGTCTGATTGACTGGTATATAAACAAAGTATGTTTGAAATATAATGATTCATACATCCGAGGCTGTGACTTGCGTTCTGAACTCAACTGCTGGGCTAGATAGGGAAGCGGGGCCAATCAGAACCCTAGGTCGTTCTACGTGTTTGCGCGTCTTTGGTCCGATCGATAATTCGCTACCCTCAAATTTGTTGTTCACAGTTATAACATGAAAATACCATCACTTTATAAAAGTTGCTTAGAATTTTAACATTCATGTTATAAAAATTAATCGTTAGTTAGCTAGTTTCATTTGATAACTCCCCTACCGATAGTGACATTCAGTTTATGTTTGTTGATGTCCCAAATTATTGACATTAATTTTAGTCCATATCACGGATTGATCTTAGTTAGATAAGTATTGAAAAGCAGTAAGCATTTGATAACTATTTATATGCAGGATAAAATTTCTTAATTTGGGTTTACATCCACTACCCCACCGGAGATTAAGCCCCGAAATCTTCAAGTCCCGATACTCGATCAGGTTGTATTTCATGTAGTTACTTTTAGAAAAAATATGTTATTTAATTTCCCTTCATTCGCTTACTTAATGACTTTTTTTTCTATTTTCTCTTATTTTGTCGACTTAGATCGTGATTACAGTCTCATCGTTATACAAGAAACAAGCACAGAATAAAACGTTTTATTGTTTATATGGTTTTAGATCCTTGAAGAAAATAACAATATTTATACCTAATAACTAATGGTAACTTAACTTTATGGTTTTCGGTGCCATGGTTCTTTTTTTTTTAACGGTTTTTATTGTCATTCTATTTAACTAATAAATTAATCGGCTAATAACGTCACAACTAAATTTTCTTGTTTTGGGTTCTCATCTTTTGTAGTCCTACTGATCAATATGCAATTCTATTAAATCTTACTGTCCTGATCTACTTACAAATATTTCCAGAACGAACTTGATGAAACATTTACATTGTTGTGATTTGAACTTGGATCGATTTTTACCCGTGTGCCAATTGTTGTGTCCTTGATTGAAAGATTAGAGAGCAGTGTATTATCGATCGAACCAAAGACGCGTAAAACACGTAAGAACGACCTAGAGTTCTGATTGGCCCTGTTTCCCTGTCTAACCCAGCCAGTTGAGTCCAGAACACAAGTCTCGGCCTCTGAGATATGAAACATTGTATTTCAAGCATACTCTGTTTATATACCAATCAACCCGACTACAACGTATCAATAAAATAGAAAATAACATTTGTACAATAATTAGCCAGAAGTGGCTGTGAATGAGAGAGGTAGCGATTAACAAATAGGGAATAATTCATGAATGGTAAATCGTACAATAGTAGTTCATAGGTCAACATAAAGCTCATAATAAGAGGGGTATGAATATGAACAGTTTAGTTGCATAACAATTATACGATAAAAATATACTCATAATATTGGTCCATAATTGAATCTCAAAATTTACCATTCATTATTCTTATCGGGACAACATACATGTAGGTAGGCACTACTGTTGTATTATAACAATTTACCAAATATTATCGTACAGCGATGAGTGAGTAGTCAGAGCGTTCTATTTGTAAGCACTAAGCCGTCTCAGGTTAGATATCCTGTCCTATTTACTCCAATTCTGACAACTAAATAGTTCTACTATCCCTCATGTTTAGAGTGCAATTCTAAGTCAAGTACACCAATATGTATCGGATAAATCAGTTAAAAGATATCCATATTCAGATTCATATTCTTTTTGTACACTTTTGTTGCTACTCAGTTCATGTTCTTAAGTACCACTGGATTTCAAAAATGGTTCGTAAGTTAGAAACTACTTATTATTCATCAATAGGATGTAATATTCATACTTTGTTTCTTCATTGCCAGGCAGTCATCAATATCAGAAATGAGTATTGTAAAGAAACAGGTGTTCATCAAAGTAGAAGATTTCACTAACCATTATGATGCTTCCGATAAGGTTACATTACAAATTAATTCGAACCATTTCACTCAAGGTTTCTAACTAGTGATTACAGTGATCACGCGGACCCTGACCACGTGTTTTGAGCCTACTTACATGGCCCAAGCTAACGACTAGCATCTTCATGGGTTGATGTCATGTATATACGCTTCACCACAAACAAAGAAACCCTAGAGAAGGGAACAGTAAGGAGCTCAATAAAGTGGATGAGTGTATTTACACCACACTGAGGTCATATTCAAATTATATAACTCAATATCTTCAATCATCAGTAAGTTCCTTTTACAAATTCCAACAAAGAAAATGGCGTTTGAATATATAATTCAAAGGTGGCTTATTAACCAATAGTTGGAAGCATAACTTCTAAGAAATTGTTTCATTTTACCATCAGATATTGAATTCTAGATGCGACGGTCAGATTTAAAAATAATGAATTGATTATAGATGAAACGCAAGGTATACTGTTAGCGAAAGTGTACAGCTTATAATACTTACAGAATGACCGGTTAAACTCTACAAGTCCATATCTATCTGAAGTACTCTGTTAATCTAATAGATTTGGTGAAGTAATAGCATATAATCATTCTGTCGTCAATCACAGCGTATGACCTAACGCATAGGCAGATCGATTCAAGTTGCTACAGCTTAACGAGGTATAATATTGGTTACATTATTAGTGGTAGTAGATAAAGACTGGGTATAGAAAATATAATACCTAATAATGATACGGATTTGTGGATTCCAAACAGATTTTTAAAGATAACTAAAAAATCGTAAGGTTAGTTCACTAATGCTTGTCGCTCGCATCTATAGTTTTTTTAAAGCTTCATTAAGGGTAAGAAGGTGGTTATATTGATATCCCACCCCAGTGGTTTAGTAATTGGGGAACACTTAATTTGTTCTCCAATGTATTTAACCCGTCTTTCCAATCGCCTGTAACTAATCTTTCTTTGAGAACACTTTCGTGTTTTAAATTACCAGCAAATAGATAAATATATGACAACCGGTATTCACCAGAAACTGTTTGACTATTAAATTCTTTGTAATCATAGGAGCGGATATCTGATGATGACTTTTCTCAGAATCGTGTCCAATAGTGACGATTTACTATTTATGTCCTGTAAATAGTTTCAGTTTCCTACTTTGGTATGTTGCATTATTTTGTCTAGTCCGTCTACATTCAACTATTGACAGTTACAACTTGTTAGGGTAATTACATTCAAACACTCTCAGTTGTCACATGCAACATATAACTTTTAGATCCGTGAGTGCTAGCGACTGATTCTATCACTGGCCAATTACTTAGTCTCCGTAAAACAGTAGGCAGCGTCCAGTCTAAGTGCCCGCCTTTCTATGGTGCCTAAGTTATCGTAGACCTAACTGTTGTCAGACAAACCACACCCTATCATATTCTTATAGTAGTGTATGTCCGTTTTCGCTCACTGCCTCCAGAAAAATCATACAGAACTAATATACAAAAGAGTAATTCACCTTAGAATCTCAATATCTATCTACTCTGCCTAACTGGTTATTTCTACTAAAGAGCTGCAGGATTACATGTCAAGTTTGGTAAAATCATCCAACATAGTTGAAAATCTGATCCTGTACGATTGTAAAACTATCCTTGGAATACTATGTTCAAGTTCAATCAGTGGATAAATACTAAACATAAATCATTGTTATGGACATATACGTTAAGAAAATGTTAGTTTACTTTGCCACAAGTATTCGGAGCTTGTGAACGCCTGATACCTTTACGATTGAAGTATACCAATTCAATCGAATCAGAAGTCAGAAATGACGGGATCCGAAAATATATTTATAAAGTAATCAATATGTTGAGAGGCCTTTGGTCTAAGCTGGCCATCAGTTGTCGGGGATGCGTGACCGAGCGTTTTCAGTTAGGGTGCTTCCAGTAAATTTAACGAGTTCAACATCATTGTTGAGGACATACGGAACTATTTATTTTGAGGACTTATTCACTGCTATAGCTATATTCATAATCATTAAAACGTTTTACGCTATTAAAATTTGATAGGTGAACCTATTTTACGGATATGAACTTTAACTGTTAAATTATCCTCAAGAAATTCTTGGTATTTTCCAGGAACTCAAATAAGTGTATAAGAATAAATAATTTATGCTTGAAACCGAATAAAACTAGGATTTTATGATAATTAGAAGTATTATAATTACTGTGCTAATTATGAATTCCCGGAACAGTACAATTTAAGCCAGACAGAACTAGATGAGTACAAACGAATGTATTATATTTAGGATTGGAAATCAGCGGGCAACAAAGTATAACGGAATCATTATTTCGTACAAGTATCACAAAATTATTTATATTTCATGTACTGAACTTTTCCAAGATTAGTTTCCTGTTGTCTTAAAATGGAAGAGCACTCGGTTTAGAAACATACTCATGCTTCAAATTATCTCATATGTATTTACCTATCTGTTAATAAACGTTGTTGCTGTAAGTCCTTGTTATAGAGCCTATGAATCTAAGTCTTTGACAAACTAATTCGGCATAATATTTAAATCTGCCTAGACAACAGTAGCCTTTCTTATCACCCGTAAACATTTTTTTCCTATCTGAGGATAGATCTTGACAATATGAGGAGTAAAAAGAATGTAGTGAAAAGTGTCCTTGAAAACCTCCACTCCATATAATAAAATCTTACTGAAGTTAAACAGATGAACTACTTGCATATTCTTTCCCGTTTATCTTTACGCTCGTTAGCAAGTATGTTGTCCCTACAACTTAAGTACCTAATTTTGATGCCATTGCTGAATTTAACAACAGTTAACATATCTTTCACTTACTTATCGTGTAATACATTTTCCAAGAATGTATATGGATGCACAATGCTTAATTAAAGACTTCTCAACCACAAATGTAGACTTAATTTTGGAGTTGTTTTAGTGAGACTATAATCTATGGACGACCTTTTTAGCGACGCTAGACTGACCTTAAGTGTCCAGATAATAACAAAGGCCGAATGAGGGTTATAAACTAGTGTGTGAGGAACTATAATTATAATTTGCAGTTGATGATTTAGGGTAGGAATTAGATTTCGGGTTTTTTTTATCACGAATTGACATAAGCTAAAATGCCTAGACGCTATTTATCCAAATAAATGGGTGGATTTTGTTCCAAAATCCGTTGCCTGTTATCTTATACGTGATTGGTTCGCTCATAAATTACAGTCTTCCTAACAGGTAGTATAAATCGAATCTCTTTCGGTCAGCAAATTATTTACCTTTAACAAAACCGGTAATCTGGATAAACAACCTCGTTGTTCTGTACACTGACCAATCCTGAAGTAGAGGGTCCTATTCTCACTTCGCACCATTTCTATCGCATTCAAGTTGCCGTGTAGATATGTACTGTGGTTATTAGAAGCATCGAGGAAAACGGATCGGAAGTTCATTTGGCGAGAATTGTTACTGTTGAGTTTTCATGCAGAATAATGTGTAAAAACCTAATTAAATTAAGTTTTATATATTCAATAGAATTCAAATAGATATTGCTATTTTAATGTAATCAATTTTGTCATTCTTTGTGATGATTCTTATATAAAATATCAACTTACGACGAAACAGTTACGAAATATCTTCAAATGTACTGAAAGTAAGAAAGTTTTCATATTCTAAAAGTTTTTAGACTTTTCAGTCTGCACTAACAGTAATTTCATGTTAGTCTTCTGATTGAAATAGTAATCTGATAATATTATCACTTCGTTAAACATAGAAACACTTGGAATACAAGACAATTTTAGTTACTGCGATAAAATGTATCAAGTGCTATTACTTATTTTGTGTTCTGAGTATCTGGAGAACATTTGTCAGCTACAACATCAAGGAATAAAACAAGTATGGATTACCCACAAATATCTCCCTAACACGCCATAAAAGAGGGATCGTAAAAAACCTTTTCCATCATAAACTCAACACAAAGGAGAAACTAGAAGAGCTTCCGGTCATCAAAATGTATCAGCAGTAAAAAGTGCCAGCATAGGGTTGTGGAGATTGTTGAGTTTTGACTGAGATTAGGAAAGGATCAATGTTAGACCACCGTTGAAAGCCTGGGAATACTGGGCGGCTGCTTTGCACTAGTATGGAATTCCTTAACAGTGCCCATTCACAAACCCGCGCTCGGGGTTCGAACCCGAGACCTTTGGTCTCGCGCGCGAACGTTTAATTTCTAGACCAGTGGGCCGGCACCCAACGGTGTTAATGTCTAACTTCGGTCAATCTACGAGACTGAAGGTTCTGGGTTTGGACCTCGAGTGTAGGACTGTGGATGCGCGTCTCCGAGGAGTCCCATACTGGGGGGAAATGGTCG